CTCACTACTAGATTGACTTGTGTGGATAACTGTACCGTATTTCATATTGTACTGGTTGTATACAATAAACCTTTCTTCTGTTATTCACCTGGTGTTAAGTATTTATTCCCTTGGCACGGAATATAACAATAGTTTTGTCATCCGCATAGACACTGACTTGAGAGCTGATTATATCAGGATTATCGTTGATGAAAGTTAGGAACAATTCAGGTCTAAGGATAGAGCCCTAGGGGAGACCTGCATTCATAAAAAAAGATCTAGAAGAGTCTCTGTTCAAGATAATTTGCATTTTGCGATTGGCTTAGATTAACTCGGATCAAAAATTGGTCTAGTAATACCATAGCCTTTCAACTTGGGAAGATGTCCGGCCTGCCAAACCACGTCAAATACCTTCCAGATATCGAAAACAACAGGTTTAGTTTCATCGTTCTTATCAAAATCTTGATAAACTCTTTCAGTAATACCCGTTAACACATCAGCAGTTGACCTAGAGAAGTGAAATCCATATTGTTTATCTGAAAGAAGCGAGGTAAGATGCTTAACCAATTCAGAGTTAATTAAAGCATCTAGTACGTTCCCCAAAAGAGGTAGGAGACTAATAGGGGGATAGTTAGAAGGATCAGATGTTACGCTGGATTTTTTAAAGACGGGTACTAGAATAGATGATTTCAAACAAGCAAGAAAGCAAGAAGCAGGGCATTTATTATAAAGTATAGACAGGGAACGGGAGATAATTCAGGCTCACATTTCTTTGAGCCTTGATACCGGTGCAAAAAAAATGACGTAATGCCCAGCTACCAGTTGAACAATGGCTAAACACTTGCGTCGTGTTTTGCTATTGGTTGTTTTATTTTGAAGAGCCAATCAGAAAAGCTGTAATATTCTGATGTCATCGAACGTTAGACCAACATGTCCGTACATTATGTTTTGTGCATGTGTTTTGGATAAAAAAAAAATATCGTTTTTACTATGTGCAGACTCAATCTGGATCTTGGCCCTTTTTTCATCTTGATTGGATCAGCTTTTATATTTCCCTTGTCCGTATATATTTTCTCCTTTCCCACTCCCTTAGCGAGAGAGCTTCTTGGATTTGTCCAATGAGCAGAATACAGCGGCCTCTCCGTTTTTTTGAGTGTTGGACAGGTCCTACTAACATCACTTATGTTTAGTTTACTTTGTGTTCATGTTTAGTTTGTTTTGGGGTTTATTCCCCACCTTCTCATATTAGTCAACCATAGATTTTTAATTATAAATTCTATCATTATCAGATTTTTATGACATAGGGCATGTTTTGTAGGACCCCTTGAGAGGATGTGGTATTATGATGTACGGAGGATTGATTGGTGACGGACAAGTTTTTTATGGTCAATGTAGAAATTGTAATGAGTGAATGGGTCGTGAATCAGATTAGCTAGGTATAGGATAGATAGTGAAGACCAGCCTCTCCCCACTTCCCCTTTCGGCCATGTGCTATAATTATTGTATAATTACACAGTAATAAATATAGACTCACAACCTGGACCGTCAGGGAAAAAATAAGGACGTTATATTTTTTATAACTATTTTTTTTATATCTACCTTGAAACATTACATACCAATTATTTGCCAATTTCGACTCAGGAGCTCAGGCAGAAGGGTTAACATTGTTCAGGAATACAGGGGTCAAATGGTTAAATATTGATTACACCTTAAGAAAGCGGCAATTTCGACAATTGTCACGATCCAACGCATGCTTTCTCTTGACATTTAAACCGCGCAGAGGTTGCAAAAAGGAGAGATGTTGGTCATCAATATTTCTCCAAATCATAAATTGTTCAGTTCGTGACCCATTAATACTACATTAAGCCATTCACCATGTTTCCTTCCTTCTTTAGTTTTTCCTGTTTTAATTTTCATTAATGACATTTCCTATGGCATCAGCTTTCAACTTGCTATCTACGCTCATGCCATATCCAACTCCAGCCTCGATAAGTAAAAAGTTGATCAGACCGACAAGGTCAAAATGGCATCCGATGTCAAAAAACACCATCAAGTCCGTCGTTAACTGCAGCAAAAGATAGCTTGTTAATTTTAACGCTCCAAAACTAAACATCTCCCCGTTAATCATCTGAGAGACCCCTTTATGAAAAATGCATTTAAACCTTAGGTATAGCGAATTTTTGGAGGTATCTAAATTAAAGGTATGCAATCATACTCTCTACCTGCTAAGTATCATGCTTATATTTTTGAAACTATTTTTATATCTAAAATGAAACATTACATACCAATTATTTGCGAATTTTGAATCAGGAGCTCGGACAGAATGGGTTAAAATTGTTCAGAAACGCGGGGCTTAAAGGGTTAAATATTGATTACAGCTTAGGAAAGCGGCGATTTCGGCAATTGTCACGCCCCAATGCATGTTTTCTCTTGACCTTTAAACCGCGTAGAGGTTGCAAAAATGGGAGATGTTGGTCATCAGTATTTCTCCAAATCATAACTTGTTCAGTTCAGTTCTGCTTGGTAGACTGGCACACAACGAAAGAATAGGTTGAAACCTTTGGAAGTAAAGTCTGATGATCCAGAGCCCTGTTAAAGGGGTTGTGGTGAAATAACTTATTACATGGAACCTTAAAGTGGTCTGTTTTTTTTATTCAAACTTATATGCTCTGAATTTACATTGAGCTCTCCGGATATCCTCCTCCTTGGGTCTACCCATACGGATTACCTAGTTTTGCATAAACTATATATATATATATATATATATATATATATATATATATATATATATATATATATAGTTTATATTTAGGCAGCAATCCTTCCTTTATGCATGTTTCATTAAAAACGACAGACAAGGTACTACGGTTGAGCTTTTTATTTAATTTTTCTTGTGTTCTGAAAAGAGCTTTCTTTTCTGGACAAAGGGGTGTAAGAACTGTCCGAATGTTCTATATTTCCGAGCGCTTTCAGCTATACCTTTATATATATATATATATATATATATATATATATATATATATATATATATATATATATGAAGAATAAAATATAATATATACACTAAGAAAATCCACATTATAACGAAAAACATTTGATTTGCGGTTTCCTTTTTTTTCTTTAAAATATATACATTTTTCTGCAGTTGTGGCAATTATAACCTTTTCCCTATATAAACTTTCCGGATATATATATATATATATATATATATATTCACACGTTTGTTGTGTAGGATTTGAATATTAAAATATTGCGTCTTGCATATAGAAATAACCTATGTATCTTTCATATTATCTTGTTAAGCTGAATTCCACCATCTGGTCTCACTCTTTTTCTAACTTATCAACATGGTACATCTATCGCACGAAGACGCAGATGTAATCCCGTTTTTTTTTTTTTTTTTTTTTGTTAGCAATTTCTTTCTATCTGAATTTCGCCCTTTGAAATATTTTAATCATTTGCTCTTCCTTCTCAGCGTTACTCTCCCCTCTTGTTTCATCTTTCCCGTGTTGATCTCTCCTTTTCTTAATCTCCAACCTTCGGAGAGTGTCAATGCGTTTCAAGTGGAAAGTTAATATTTGTTGATGGCCGCTCCGACAACCTTACAGTGACGTCACACCCTCATCATGGTTACTGCAAGTGTTTAATCAAAATGAAAGTGAGTCCATTAGTTTCGTTTTTAATTTTATTGGTATTTTTATTTTTTTGGATATTTTTTTTTTATCTTTTAAGATAAAGATTTTTTTTTCTTCTTGACGTCTGTCTTTTCTCCCTTTTCATTTTTTCTTTTTCGCTTTTTTTTTATTATTTCTATTTGGCCCGATCTTGCTTTTTTTTCAAAGATACATGATGGAAGATGGAATTACGAAATTTAAGAAGGGGAAAAAAAAAAAAAAAAAGGAAGGAAAATAAACAAGAAAAGAAAAACAGAGGAAAATAGAGATAAAGAAAGAAAGAATAAGGGAAGTAAGAGAGACACATGGAGAAAGAAAGAAAGAAAAAAAACAATGAAAGTATGGGAAAAGAATGTTTGAATGAAGGCTTGGATAAGTAAAACAAAAGAAAGAAAAGAAAAAAAGCAAGATTGAAAGACAGACAGACAGACAGAAAGAAAGAAAGAAAGAAAGAAAAGGAAAATGATTGAAAGTAAGAATAAATAAAAAAAAACACGAGAGAAAGACAGATTCGAACAAGCATAGATAGATAGAAAGAAAGATCAATATATATATATATATATATATATATATATTGGTCTTTCTTTCTTTTAGATAGATAGATAGACAGACAGATAGATTTGAACAAGCATAGATAGATAGAAATAAAGAATATATATATATATATATATATATACGAATATATATATATATATATATATATATTAGTCTTTCTTTCTTTTAGATAGATAGATAGATAGATAAACAGGCAGACAGACAGACAGATAGATTTGAACAACCATACATAGATAGAAAAGAAAGAAAGAAAGAAAGAGAGAAAGACTATATATATATATATATATATATATATATATATATATATATATATATATATTGGCCTTTCGTTTAGATAGATAGAAAGATAGACAGACAGAGAGACACACAGATAGATTTGAACAACCATAGATAGAAAGAAAGAAAGAAGGGAAAAAAGAAAGAAAGAAAGTATAAAAGAAAGAAAGAAAGAAAGAAAAAGAAAGAAAGATGTGAAAAAGAAAAATAGAGGAAAGAAATACTCCGGCATTTTTACATTATTTCTATTTACTTGGTTCTTTCTAATTTTTTCTTATTCCTCTTTTTTCTTTCATTCTCTCATTCATTCTTTTATTTTTTCGTTATCTTTTTTTTTACATTCGCTTATCTTTCTTTATATGTATTTACCTCAGTTTTTCATTCCTACCTTAATTATTTTACCTCCCTTTTTATATTTTTTCCTCACAAAATTTTCTTTTTTCTCTTCTTGAAATCTTTCTACCATTCTTTCTTACCTCATTTTTTTTTCAATCATTGGATTCTTTTATTACTTTCATGTTTCTTTCTTTCTTCATTTTTTATTTCTCCTTTCTTTCTTTCTTTCTTTCTTTCTTTCTTTCTTTCTTTCTTTCGTTGTTCCTTTCTTTCTTTTTCTTTGCTTTCTTTCTTTCTTTCTTTCTTGCTTTTTCCTTTCTTTCTTTCTTTCTTTCTTTCTTGCTTGCTTTTTCCTTTTTTCTTTCTTTCTTTCTTTTCCTTCCTTCCTTCTTTCCTTCCTTCCTTTCTTTTCGTTTCTTGACTCTTTCTTTCTTTCTTTCTTTCTTTCTTTCTTTCTTTCTTTCTTTTCCTTTCTTGCCTTTTTCTTTCTTTCTTTCTTTCTTTCTCTTTCTTTCTTTCTTTCTTTCTTTCTTTCTTCTTGCCTTTTCCTTTCTTTCTTTCTTTCCTTGCCTTTTCTTTTCTTTCTTACTTTTTTCTTTCTTTTCCTTCCTTCCTTCCTTCCTTCCTTCCTTCCTTCCTTCCTTTTCTTTCTTTCTTTCTTTCTTGCCTTTTCCTTCCTTTCTTTCTTTCTTTCTTTCTTTCTTTTTTACATTATATACTTCAATCTTTCTACAGATTCCTTTCTTTACATTTTTTTTCTTAAGATTTACTTCTTTCAACTTTCATTTATTTTTTATTTCTTCTTCCTTTTTCATAATTCCTGTTACTTTTTTTTCATTATTACTTCATTATCTATCTATCTATCTATCTATCTATCTATCTATCTATCTATCTATCTATCTATCTATCTATCTAGTTTTTATTGCATTCATTCATTATTCTTTCTTCCTTTCTTACTTCCATTTGTCTTTCTTTCTCTCTGCTTACCTCTGTCTTTCCGTTCCTGATCATTTTTCTTTCTCCTACTTAATTTTCATCCTTTAAACTATCTTTTTTCTGATCCACTTTTTCTTCCTCATCTTCGCCTCTTCCATCTTTCCTTTTCTTCCGGTTTTCTTTCACCCCATAAGACATTTAAATAACTTTAATTAACCAAGAACATTACACATTTTATTTCTTTTTCTCCGCTCAGATCTTACAATATGGCGGACAAAAATTAATTTACTGGGTGAAAATAACCATTGAAAGCAAACGACAAATTTGAATTTCGCCTCGCAGACAAATATTCTCAATATCTTGACAATCTTGGAGTCAACACAGTGAGAAGAAAATTGACTTTGCTGTTTATTTCTTTTATTCTTGTGGTTTTGCCGATTCTGTGTGGAAAACATTTTGGCGTTTGGAAGAGAAAAAAAAAATTGATGCGAAATCAAAAAGAATGGCGGAGATAACGTTGCGTTTCTTTCTTCTTTTTTTTTACTGACTTCAGCCTTACGCTCGTTCTGTCTATCTAAGTCTGTTCACATCTATCTATCTATCTATCTATCTATCTATCTATCTATCTATCTATCTGTCAGTTTTTTAATATCTATCTATCTATCTATCTATCTATCTATCTATCTATCTATCTATCTGTCAATTTTTTAATATCTATCTATCTATCTATCTATCTGTCAATTTTTTAATATCTATCTATCTATCTATCTATCTATCTGTCTATCTGTCAATTTTTTAATATCTATCTATCTATCTATCTATCTATCTATCTATCTATCTGTCAATTTTTTAATATCTATCTATCTATCTATCTATCTATCTGTCAATTTTTTAATATCTATCTATCTATCTATCTATCTATCTATCTATCTATCTATCTATCTATCTATCTATCTGTCAATTTTTTAATATCTATCTATCTATCTATCTATCTGTCAATTTTTTAATATCTATCTATCTATCTATCTATCTATCTATCTATCTATCTATCTGTCAATTTTTTAATATCTATCTATCTATCTGTCAATTTTTTAATATCTATCTATCTATCTATCTATCTATCTATCTGTCAATTTTTTAATATCTATCTATCTATCTATCTATCTATCTATCTATCTATCTCTAGCTAGCTGAGTTCGTTCATATCTATCTATTATCTATCTATCTCAGTTAATATCTATCTATCTCAGTTTGTTCATATCTATCTGTTTGTTCATATCTATCTATCTATCTATCTATCTCAGTTAGTTAATATCTATCTATCTATCTATCTCAGTTTTTTCATATCTATCTATCTATCTCAGTTTGTTCATATCTATCTATCTATCTATCGATCTCTCTCAGTTTGTTCATATCTATCTATCTATCTATCTATCTATCTATCTATCTATCTATCTATCTCAGTCAGTTAATATCTATCTATCTATCTATCTCAGTTTTTTCATATCTATCTATCTATCTATCTCAGTTTGTTCATATCTATCTATCTATCTATCGATCTCTCTCAGTTTGTTCATATCTATCTATCTATCTATCTATCTATCTATCTATCTATCTCAGTTAGTTAATATCTATCTATCTATCTATCTCAGTTTTTTCATATCTATCTATCTATCTATCTATCTATCGATCTCTCTCAGTTTGTTCATATCTATCTATCTATCTATCTATCTATCTATGTCTGCTCATATACATATATATATTTAGATATATAGATAGATTTTTTGTTTGATAGATTGGTTGATAGAAAGACACTGAAATATATCGATCTATAGGTAGGTATGAATGGAATGTGATTGGGTGTACTTAATGAAAGAAGAAAAACAGAATTCGCTTTTGTGTCTAGAAAGTACCTTAAGATATTTTTGAGCCCAGCATCGGGTATTGCTAATCCCAGCGAAAAATGAGTACGCCGGTTTCAAATAACAGGATTTTGAGGAAGCTAGTTAATGGCTTGCCTTCACCAATCCAAAGAGGGGAACTAAAATTTCAAGCGTGTCAAAACCCACTTTTTCATGACATTTTTTTTTCATACGAACAACCCATGAGAAAGACATAGAGACATCCTACCAATCATCAGTGATAATTACATGCGGAATTCTAAAAGGAATGAAAAAAGTTCTTGATGAAATTTTGAAATGAAAATAGTTAAATTTCTTCTGATGAGTATGTTAATCTTCGTTGTTTTGAGCACAACATTTTGATTTCGGGCATCATCTATAAAAATATTTTTATTAATACGGTCTCCGAATTTTCGTAGTACGAATAAAGGAACATTTAAACGGCTGACAAACAAAAAAATATTTTACTGCGTAGAGTGAGTACGACTTTAAAATAATTCATAGAATAAACACAATATTTAGAGGAATCCAGAAATAGAGAAGATAGATAGGTAGATAGGAACTGTCAGAAATATGTGAAAAGTGTATATATATATATATATATATATATATATATATAATGTATGAAAGCCTCAAACACTAATATTCCATGGTTATAATTTATTACATTGGAATCATAATCACGATCCAATTCATAAGACCTGATTTTGTAGAGTGAATGTAATGGATTCGACTGTAATTCGAACTCGGCTCTCCCATTCCTCAATCCGTGCCTCCTATAATTACATATATATATATATATATATATATATATATATATGTATGTGTGTGTGTGTGTATTTAGGCAGCAAACCTCCTTACATACATATTTCATTAAAAACGACAGACAAGGTGCTTTTATTTATTTTTTTATACAATTTCTCATGCGATCCAATAATTCTTTTCTTTTCGGATGATAAATTATATAAAAACTGTTCGAATGTTCTTTTTACCCGAGCGCTTTCGGCTATACATTTAGCCATTTTCAAGGATTATAAAATGTTTTTCTTTTTTAACTGTTAAAATAAGAAATAGTTTAAGGCTTTTTGTATGTATGTTTTTATAAAATGTTTTATATATTTCTTTAAAAACACGGTCAATATATTATGTCCATGTTCAAAGTTATTTATTATTAGTGTTTCAAAACAACAAAATTTTTTTTTTTTTGTTTTTTTTTAAGGCTTTTATTATTTTTAGATTTCGGCTCTTTTTTGCATGTAGATGATGCTATATATATATATATATATATATATATATATATATATATATATATATATATAGAAAATATAAAGCACATATAAAATAGGTAAATAAAGAAATGGTTTTCCTTAGTATTTTAGTTATTATTTTTTAAAAATAGTGCTCGATACAAAGTAAAGCATAAATATAATTATTTTTTTAAAATATGATTCGAGAAGATAAAAAACTCTTTCGTTTAAAAAAACCAAAAAAATAAAACCAACAAAAAATAATATCCGTTCAAATGGTATATCAGGCGATTCGGAATTTTTTTTGGTTCCAAAACAAGTTAAAAAAATTTTTTTTGGTTCCAAAAAATTTTGCTTGAAGATGGAACACCGTGCGGTTTTTCCAAACAACTCTAAGAAAAATTTAATTCAAATAATTATATTCAAAAGATTTCAAAGGGAGGGTAAAATTGTTTTAATTTCTTGTATTTTTTTTGAAACATGAGACCTCTTATGTCGCGATATTGGAATCATATTTTATATATAAATATTAAATGATTTATATATTTATATATATATATATATATATATATATATATATATATATATATATATATATAGCAAATTACACAAAAGTTTGGTGTATTTCATGTGCGCATTGGCACATATAAATGACCATGTGAAATCAAACAATGACTTTTAAATGGGATTACCTTTTTTCAGTCCCATTTCTAAGATCGACATTCTGAATATATTTCAATTCATCCCCATGCTTCCATTATTGACATTTTGCGTTTTCTTTTTTTCATTTTTTTTTCAAATTCCGATGTATTATGTACCACTTTAGCGCAAACGCAACACTTGACTTCTTGTACGAACAACCCTCAATGCCTGTATCTTTTTGTCCCTAAATATATTATCTAAAATCGAGAAGATAAAAATATACGCTTTCTTCGTTAAAAAAAAAACAAAAAAATAAAACCAACAAAAAACGATGCCATATCCGTTCAAATGAATCGCAAATATGGCCAAAGGCGATTCGGAATATTTCGTGAGATTCAATGCAAGATTCAAACGAATAAACCAGCTCTTTATTGCCCTGCAAGGCTTGAAGCTG